AGTTCACCTTCTCGCAGGGCATCTCAGACCAGGAGAGCAACGGCTCAGGCAGTTTCTACATCAGACAGGAGCCCTGAGCAGCATCAGCCATCACAGAGCCTCACCTCACTGCCAACAGCACTGGAAAAATCCCACTCGGAGCGATGCACACGAGGCCTGGAAGAAGACACAGTGGCTTCCCCTCACACCAGGTCTCTCTTTTTGTTTTTGTTCCTTTTCAGGTTTGAAAAGCTTGAAGAAAGGACTTCTCAGTCATTGATCCGAGAGAGAAGGGTGTGTATACGAGGGGATTTCGTTTGAAATAGGGATACTGTTTTTTGTTGAAACAATTTGCCCGTTGGACTTTTTCTCCTCAGTGTTCATTGTACTTGAAGTTTTCTTCACTTTTTTTCTGTCTTTATTTCCCCTTTTGGTGAGAAGAAAAAAAAAGTTTTGGGGGGTAAGATTTCAGTACCTTGTGTGTTTCTCGTGCCGTTTCATTTGTTCTGGATGGGTGTGCATTTGGTAAGAGTAGTAAAAATCTATATCGAGACAGTATATTCATATATGTATGACATTCATATTAAACACACACATATATAAATATTTAAACGTATAAATATAGTAGTGGAATGAGGGATGATGGTATTGAAATCAAACCTTACTGGTATGAAGAGTAGACTAATGGAAAACATTCACAATTTGCACTACAGGGATAAAAAATATATGTTTTGGCCTGTAAAACGATAGTAAAAACCTGCAGCTTTATTGTATTATGTGATTAACAAACATAATTATAGAAGTGGGATGTGCTCAAGTCAAAGTGAATATTGTGATATGCAAAAAAACAAAAAAATCATTTGACGCCGATGTTTATGGTTTTAATTTGTTCTAAAGAGCCATTTTTATACGGGCGGTCAGAGTATTTTGTGAGCCTTCGAATAAACCGCAAACAATCACTGCTACCTGAACACTACCTTCCTGTCATCCTTGATGTTGACGGCACAGCAGAGGATTCTTCTGGTAGACTTTCTAGTAGTATTGCGAGTCTCTGAACAATACAGCGCCAGCTTGTTTGTTTACCAGCCTCTTTGTTCGTGCATCTGCGAGGAATCGCATCACATCCCATGCATTTTTCTTAACTCCCAGCATTCATTCCAGAAGAAAACCATTTTTACTACCTCTAAAAGAAAAGGTTGAGGATTCATGTGGTTCCTCGGCCTCGCTAAGGTTGCAATAGGTAGTTTTCATGCTCCATTTGAAAGGGTATATTCATTATATTTTATGCAAATGGCAACTATCCACACTTGGACACATGGCTTATTTCACTTTAAAAGTCTACACATCGTTTATATTTGTATCATAGCATAGAGTTCTTGAAATGGAAAAGAAAGTTATGCAATAATAATGTCTGTTGTTTTATGTCTTACTCTGAAAACAAAAATCACACCGCTCATAAATATATAGACTAGAAACATTCTATCGACTTAAAACAAAAATATTCTTACAATATATTGCAAAACTGTGACAATTTTCTAAGAGCTAGACTTGAGCTTTCCCTCTTATAGATCGTTCTGAGTGTAAATAACCTTTATAACATCCTATAGAATCATCAACCGATATAACATTTGCATAGTGGTTTATCTTAGTATAACTATAAGCTCTATTCAATACCAGTAAGGTTGTTGGTGAACTCTCAGGAAACGTATCTCATCGACTTCTGCTTTATTTGAAGGTTCGTGGCTATTGCTTCTAAGATCATCCAATTCTACTTTGTTTCCAATATTTGAAGCTCCTGACAAATGTGACCATGTCCTTGTTTTCCTCTGGTTCATCTTTGCTTGCATTCATCAAATGCTGAGTACATTTTGTAAATGGTCACCCACATGTTGTAGTTAGATCCATGTTAAATTATGGTTTGTTGTATAAAGAACCCATGTTTTTTTTTTTTAAGAGGTGTTTTTTTCCCCCCTTTCTCTCTCTCTCTTGTAATTTACTTTTTTCCTTCATGGGTTTTAGCAGATGTTTGTATTGAATCATTATGAATTGGTTTATTTTTTTAGTCATTTTTGAGTTTCTTCAGTAGCTGTTGTGTTGTAAGCATGTGCAGTTTTCCAAATGTAAGGCACTGTTGTGTATTTAATTTGTAAACGTCAAACATGGGCTACATTTTACATCAGCAACCACATCGATATTGTCATGTTCATACTCCTTCCTTCGATGCTTATTCTTTATGCTAATTTTGCATTATTTTCAATGTCATTGATTTTTCCTCATAAACCCCATCCATAGCGTCAGGATTTAGGTACACGCTGGTTACGATCATGCTTGTCAGCTAAATAATTTTTTTTTTTAATTATTATTATAATAACAAGACCAAAATCTCAATCATTTGCAATTAAAATATGACTGTTGAGGCAAATTTAGCTGCTAACCTCAAATGAATTTAAGCCCTAATGCACAACTTTCAGTAAACGCTCTCTCGTCAGCAGAATTGATGCCTTATCCTCTGTTATGTTTTTTCTCTACACAAGTAAAGCTATTGAGTCAAACATAGAGAAGCAGAATACAAAATGTAAAGGAAAAATATGTTGTCCAGTAGAGTGATTATCAGTGCATGCAGCAATGTGAGAATCTTATGAGGGCCAGTGTTCTTCTGGTCTCGATACTAACACGGGTTTTTGTGATGTTCCCTCTGTCCTCAGTAATCACATCATGGTGCTATATATATATATTTGATAACTCATTCGTTAGGTCTATTAAAAGAAGAATTAAGTCTGTAATTATAAGTTGGAGAGCTGGTGATTATAACTTCAAATCTGTATTTTGGATACAAGTAGCTGAAATCATTTGTTATAACGATGAAAAAAAAAATAAAGAACTAACATTGACCCTCATAGTACATAGAGGTGAGGGTGGTGGGTTTGTAACTTTTTTGATAGAGTCTGTATCTGGTCTTTACTTTATTTCTGATGATGATGTGTGCTGTGATATGGAGTTTGGTAGCTTATATGTATATAGTTCAACTGTGGGGGGAAGCTTTTGTTGGTTGAATTTTATGTTCATTTGTTTACAAGCATTTCAAACTGTTTCCGCATGGCTGTGAAAATGTATCTGTTGAATTTGGAAAAAAAAAAAAAAAAGAAATTTTTACACTGAATTAAAAAGGATACTAAACATTTATCGGTTGAAGTTGGTTTCCCTTCTTGGTACAGGTTTTTTTTTTAATCTTATTTTTTTTATTTTTTTTTTTAATTGCTTAGACACAAAGTGATACTTGAGGCCCGCTTAGTGAACCATTCTCTCATATACCTAATCTTTAGACCAAGTCTGCAAAACTACAAGCATATTACATGCTTTAAACTGTTTGATATCGTAAAACAAACTTTTTGCAAAACACTACATTACACACATCATTCAAAACTAACAGCTCTTTTGTTTAATTTGGGAAACTGCCATTTTAATGCCAAACTCATTTACTGATGACCTACACACAGTGATCATGTGTGAAAACATACATCATTTGTTCACTTCACTTAGCAATCAAGAAAGTTTTTGTTTTAGAAAGAAATTATTTTTTACCCCCTTGCATTTCTGTTTACATTGTATCTATATTGTACAAAGCGTTTTATAAATAAAGCTGGTTTTCTGACTTGGCTTATATGCATATTCAGTCTATCTATCTATCTATCTTTATACATACTGAACATGCATAAAAGACAGAGATCAGAAAGTCAACTTTATCAGCTTTTTTCAAGTGCTGCCTTTAATTTTCAAGTGATCCTGAAGACCTTAGTTGCTTCAGGTGTGTGTGAGTAGGGTTGGAACTGAACTTTGCAGGACAGTCGTTCGCCAGGAGCAGGATTGGGCACCCCTTGTGTAGATTTTGAGAAATGGAGCCATAGTTTCAAAAACTATGTAAGCATTTTGAAAAAAAAAAAAAGGACAAAAATGCAAATTACAAACAACAGGAAAAATACAAGATACAAATTAAACAAACAGTGCTTTAATTTTTTTTTCAGGTACAGACTATTTAACAGTAGCATTCATGTATGAAATACTACAGAAATTAACCAAACGTAAAAATTAAATAAAACACTGCATGGTCTCCTTTGTATGAATTAAATATGCAATGATTTTTACTAAAGTTACTAAAGTTATTCAGTCAAGAGCAATGAGTGATTTTCTCATTTTCTGTTGTTTGATTAACATGAGCGACATTAAGAGCAGCAGTTTTATTAGGCTGCTGTCACTTTAAGACCCAATGCACAGATCAAATACTTTTGAACAGGTGCAACTCATGAAAATGCTGTCAAGGATTTTAACTGCAGGGTATTACAATGATTTTCTGGCATCGGAATATCATGCAATATGTATAAATATTGTATTGTAAATTCAGATATGTATAATATAATAGACTGGCCATTTTTTTTAAATGTTATTGTTTTTGGTGTAGAACAAAGACATGGTTCTTTAACAGCTATTTAAAGCAGGTACATTTCATTACTTTAATGACAAATTTAACAAAAATAAGTCTTATGGAGTGAAGTGAGCACTTGCTATGAAAATAAAATACTGTGGAAGATTTACAAGTAAACATATGCTTAAACATCCAGTACTCACTCCCGCTATTACCATGTGCTGTATAAAAAGCACAGTACATCCCCTAAACAAGCACTTTAAATAAAACCTTTAATGAGAAGGTTTATCAGCCAACAGTATCAACTCAGTCAAACGCTATCATGTCAGTGGTTAATGGGTCCCAAACCATAAACAGCTCACATTTACAAAATTAAAAGGCTTCATGTTATGAACTGATCATAACCACACATACCAAAAGAAGAAAGAAAAATCAATGGTTACTTCAAAACTCTACAATTAAGACTAGTCCTGAAGAAACTCATCAGACACTGTACAGCACTCTCAAAGGGCCATCAATACTGCATCCATATTACTGTAAGAAAAGTAAAGTAGAGAATATGCAGATATGTTTCAGATATCATTTAAGCTTTCTTCTTTAAAAAAAAAATATATATATATTCTAGGCTGTACATTATACAGTAATGTTAAATCATATATTTCATCTTATATCAGTGAAATAGAGGTAAATCAAGTCAAAAGTTGATCAACAGATTCAGAAATCACAGAGACAAAATAACACTGGTTTAAAATATACATGTGAAAGGGTTTCTAATTGTGTGCAAGTGTACCTAAAGAGAGAACAAAGGAGCAGAGAGGCATGAGGGGACAGACAATTGTAAAAAGGGGGAGAGGAAGTAAAGAAAAACAGATGAAAAGAAGTGGGTGAGAGGAAGAGGGGAGGCACAAAGGAGGCTCAGAGGTTGCTGAAGAGCTCGTTTCTTTTGCTCCAGTCCATCTGTGGGGCTCTCTTGTTGGAGCGTTTCTGGTGAGCGCGTTCCTTGGCCTGCTGCAGCGATATGTTCAGAGATAGTCCTGCGTCATCACTCGAGGCCTTTGCTTTTGGTTTCTCCTGCAAACGTTTCATGATTCAAATTAACATTCTACGTTCATTTCGTATACTCAAGAAGACTGTGTGCACAGACACAAACCTCTGGTGCGGAGGTGCTGGCCGGAGCTGCAGAAGAGGAGGTGTTGGAGGAGGTGCTGGAGGTCGACAAACTCATAGCTACTTTAGGCTTTTCTTCCTGGCTTGCTTTTCCATTCACCTACAAAAAAAGCATTGACATTAATATAAAAACAATTCAAAACATAAACGGAAACCTGTCTGCATTTCTTTCTTCTGTTGAACACAAAAGTATATATTTTGAAGAATGCTGATAACCAGTTTCTCTCCCCACTGTATTTCCATACAATGCAAGCCAATGAGAACCCGAATCTGTTTAGCAACCAAGATTCTTCAAAATATCTTCTTTGTCTCCCACAGAAGAAAGTTAGTTTGGAATGACATGAGGGTGAATAACTGATGACAAAATTAGTCTTTCCCTTTAAGTGCAGTATAAAAAACAAACCCCTAGATGGACCTTGAGCTTGACTATGGGCCTGTCCCAACAGCCACACTGGAGGTCTTGGCCAAGTGCATGTGACAGGAAGTACACACACAAGACAGGTCCCAGGTCTGATAAATACCAAAGCTAAATCCACACTATATCTAATTGCACTTCAGAGCATTATTTGAGGCTAAGTGTATCCCATTACAGTGCAGGAACTTGTGTGCCCTGAAATCGTGAGATACTGAGGAAAACTTTACAGCGCAAGCTAAATTAATTTTAGAAGTAAGATGTTAAGTGTTTATTGGTGTAGAAATGACTGTGTATTTTGTAAAACATTTGGAAGTGCTTTTTTTTTTTTTAAAGCACCACAATTGTGTTGTCTGTTACACAGGAACTACCGAACATTTAGTTTTTTCATTTAGGTGTTTTTTTTAAGTGCAAAGTATTGGAAATCAAGATGTGTAATTAAAGTTCTTCAACAACCTCATTTGCATTTTTGCAACACTGTTTTGTAAGTGTGTCCCATTGGGTAATTAAATGTTCTACATCCACATGTGGTCTTCATGTCCACTTGAACACGAGTTAAATACAGGGAACGTCATGTAAGTAACTATAAGTAAATATAATATAGTGATTTTTTTCTCTCAGTTTGAGCAAATTGCAATAATTAGAAGGTTGAAAGGCATTAAGATAGCCATTAAGTGAAATGAAGTGTTACAAAATACTAGATCTTCAATCCAGGTCTCCACACCATGGTTTTTATACCATCACAAACAACTTTGGTCAGCAGGCATTGGGAACCTGTGAGATTTTCAGTTAGTATGATTTTTTTAATAAGGCTCTCATGCTCACCAAGGCTCCATTTATTTGATTAAAACAGTAATATTGTGAAATGTTATTACAATTTAAACTTCATTTAAAATGATGGAAAATAGAAATACAATTTGCTGACATCCCCTTATGGTTTACGGCTGCAATTTCAAAACAACTGATGTACACCACATGATCCACAAATCTCTGAAGTAATGATGGATTTACAGGACTCCAACTCTCTGTGCTGTCTACAGCTGAGCAAGAGCCAGGAATCCTTTATCAGAGCCAGTCAAACATCTGAGGGTGAAAGAGTATCTGAGAAACGCCGGCAATACCAGGTTTAGAGTCTGATAAAGTCACAGATGTTTGTGTTGTGGGAAGAAAAAGAGCAAAAACTCCCCTGCACACCCTTGAGATGTTTTATCTACTAGCAGATCCCTGGACATGCAGAGAGCTTCCATTAAGTTGGCGATTATCTGCACCAGGTTATCATTCTCTCACAGCTAGTCTAATCTAGCAGTGGGAAAACTGACAGAGAAGAGCTGCTGGAGAGGAACCAGGACACTGCATTAAAAGTGGCCTGAAATCTGGTTATCAGACTCCACAGATTTACCTTCGTCCTAATGCTGCCTGTTTAATCCCATAACTGATGTTCAGACACTACTACACTTTATCAGCCTATCAAATGTGATTGTGTGAATTTAGCATGTGCAACTAAACATAGCACATCACACGCCCACTTTTCGAGAAATGTAATGGGTCACCAGAGCTGGGTAGTAACTGATTACATGTAATCTGGATTACGTAATCAGATTCCAAAAATTAAGTATTTGTAATTAAATTAAATTACATTTTTAAATACTTAAATAGTTACTTTTTTATGGATTACATGATCACATGTTATTCACACAACAGCAATAAATTATTAATAATTTATTGATTCTCCGTAATTCCTCTTTTTCATCTTTCAAATTTTCCTTTCTAAAAAAGTCTACTGCTTACATACACTCAGAAAGCCATCCAGTTTTATGGACATTTACACAAAGATCATTCATTAGTCAGGTGGCTACACAGCATTTGACTACTGGATTTATAAAAATGAGGTTTAAGTGGTATTTCAGGTTTAAGAAGTATTCATCCCTGCATCAGCTACTGATTAGCACATTCATTTTTATCTGAATTATCACTCAGCAGGTTATTTAACCATGTATTTCTGTCTTTGGAAGGCTTTTGTCTTTCAAACACATTCAAATGCACAAAAAACATTTTTGTTTTCTGATCCTCTTTCACCTAATGTATTTACTTGAGGTACCCTGAAAATTGTAAAATAAATATTTTAATATTGGTTATGGTCACATGACATCCAGGTAAACAAATAAAATGTTTGATTGATTTTAAAATGATTTATTTTAATTTAACATTTGTATGATTTAATTAATTATTAGCTTTTCATTAAATCCCCTGCAGTTCCTTCATAAACCCCAGTTTGGGAAACCTTGACATAATATAATGTTTAATGCACTTCATGTTGTTAATAACAATTAATGAAATATATTTTCTTACTATTTGTATTTTTTTTAATCAATGTGGTTCAAGATTCTTCTATTTAAATCAATGTGATAAATGAGAGAGGTCAAAAGTAATCTAAAAGTAGTCTGATTACATTACCTTAAATGTGTAATGTAATGGATTGTTACTTACTACAATTTTTGTCATGTAATTTGGAATCTGCATTGGATTACAATTTCTAAATAATCTACCCAGCTCTGTGTGTCACATGCATGTTTTCTCAACACATATGAAGATAAGCCGTCTGAATACATTTAGTCTTTTTAACAATGAGCAACTTAGATGTTAGTCACCTGATCTTCTGCATCACGGCTGGAAAGAGACTCTGGGAGAGGACCTGAGAACACAGTGACAGACAAAGATCAATTCATTAGATTTTCATCATCAGATATATGTGACCCTGGACCACAAAACAAGTCTTAAGTTGCTTGGGTATATTTGTAGCAATAGTCAAAAAAACATTGTATGGGTCAAAATTATCGATTTTTCTTTTATGCCAAAAATCATTAGGATATTAAGTAAAGATCATGTTCCATGAAGATATTTTGTAAATTTCCTACCGTAAATATATCAAAACTTAATTTTTGATTAGTAATATGCATTGCTAAGAACTTCATTTGGACAACTTTAAAGACGATTTTCCTCATTATTTTGATTTTTTGCACCCTCAGATTAGATTTTCAAATAGTTGTATCTCGGACAAATATTGTCCTATCCTAATACATCAATGGAAAGCTTATTTATTCAGCTTTCAGATGATGTATAAATCTCAATTTTGAGAAACTGACCCTTATGGTTTTGTGGTCCAGGGTCACATATTGGTCTCAGTTAGTTCAAATGTAACTTGGGAAAAAATTGTTATAAGATTCATGATTACAGTCCATCACTATTATTAACCAAAATGCCATTTCCAAAGGGTTTTGAGTCACAGTACAATGGCTGAACTGTGAGTTCCTTCCAAGAAAAAACAGGAAACAGGCAAAAAGCCTTTATAGAATTGAATGTGAATTGGGAAACATGGCTGTTGTGGTTGAAATAATGAATAAAAGATGTGTGTGGGTGCAGCGGTCAACATCCATTCAGGGAGAAATGGAAAAAGTCCAACAGCCCGATGGCCAGCTCATCATAATGTAGTTTTGGCAATCATTTGACTTTTTACTATTTCACCTGTTGTTCTATTACCTTGAAAAAGCCTCCAATGAAGTAACACATATATTATGTTGTGCTTCTTTGTGTCATAGTGGGGTGGCTGGGCCACCAACATGAGTCTTTTGCCTGTCTGGCACATTAAGAGTGGGGGTGACTGACTTCCCCCATTTCTCATACTGTTTCCATGGTCCTGATCACCAAGACAACATGCTGGCAGTGCGCTGTTGACTTTGGCTAATTCTCTCATGTACAGACAGTGCCACCGCAGGCCTCGAGTTGATGTTTAACCAGCAGTCTGTTACTATGTGAGTGTGTGTGCCTAACATCATGTGAAATGTTTGACAAAAAGAACAAAGTTGTTCTTGATCAGCAAAACCACACTTACGGTCAAGGGTGAGATGGACGGAAACCCATTTTACACATGAAAAAACACGCTATAGCTGGTTAATTTGTTACGCTTGTACCTGTGAGATGATTCTCAGTTGGAAGGACATCACAGCTTCTGAAGAAGGCGTCTGTCTCAGGATCCACCACCAGCAGTCTGGTCTCATCTCCTCCTGCCTTGATGGTCGCCACCACCTCTGAATGGTGCATTGTGTACACCGGAACGCCATTCACCTGCAGAAACAACAGACATTAATTCATACATTTGGAAGCAAAGATAGAGACTTAAATTGTGATAAGGAGGAGTTGTGGGAAAATGGCAGGAATGCAGGAAGTTTGCATTCATTCTGATATATCTGGATATTTAAATGAACAATAGTTTCCCTGGATCATTCAAAGCATGTGACTGAAGTGGTCAGCACCTGTGGTTCTGCAGTGATCTTCGGGGGACATTTCTTAGTCAATTTAATTCATTGCTTTACAGTAATTTAATTTCGATGCAATTTAATTTAATTGTAAAAACAATTTAAAAATAAATATTAATTATCGTTTTTTTTAATTTGTTGATTAGTAATTACTTTTTAACTAAATTTAATTTATTGCTTTTAAGGTAACTTTATTTTAATGTACCCTAATTTAAATATAATTCAATGTAAATGTAAAAATATAATTATATTATTTAAAATTAAATTACAACAAATTGAACAAAGGAGAATAACATACAAAAAATTTTTTTTATTTTTTAATTCTTAATTTTTAATTTAATTTGTTTTAAAGTAATGTAATTTTAATGTAACATCATATAGCCTAGTAGCCGGGACAACTTCTTTATGTTTACAGACATGACGTAATGACGCAGCGCCATGCTCGAATTTCCCGCAAAAACCTACCCCTACCAGTCAAATTAGAAAACATTATTATAAGCTAACCGTTGTGAATCGGGCTAAAGTAAGGCGATAGTTTTGAACACTGGCTGGTTATGTACTTGCTCAAATATTGATTTCGGATCATTTTTAACCAAAAAAAGTTACGGACTGCAGCTTTAACTTAAATGTAATATAATTTAAATGTAAAAATATAATTAAATTAAATTTAAATACAATTTTAAATTAAACAATAAACTACATTTAAAAACTATAAAAATATAAACTCTGATTTTACTTGAAATTATTACTATTTTAATATATTTGCACAATTTTTTCTTTACTTCATTATTACTTAATTGGCACGATTCACACCAATGCAGCTAAACTAACATTTTGGCAATACAAATGTGTTTTTGTCTATACATAGTATAACATAATATATACCAGCAAGCAAAGCAAATCTCCTTTCTCTGACGTTCTATGCATTTGAAGTACTTATGGGTCAATAGAAAGTCTAATCCCATGACCATGACTTCTCTGGTTCACAGAGAGGAGGCACCTGGGAAAAGACTGCGGTTCTGTTGGTCTATCCCATAATGCCAGAGGCTAAGGAATCTGCATGGGAGATTCAGGGCAGGAGTGGGCTCTTAGGAATGCCGATCCCACTCTCCCGTTGTGCAGGCAATTAAAACACAGCAGACAAACAACAGCCCCCTTATGTGTCCTTTAAACAGCCCTATTAGACATACACACACACATACACACACACACACACACACACACACACACACACACACACACACACACACAACAAGAGGCCATGCTCACAGAACAGGGAAGCAAAAAGGAGAATTCATCTGAGTGAGTGTGAAACACACTTGGGTTTGTGAACAGGCATAGCATAGCATGTTTTTATCATCATGTTCAGGTAAAGCCACGTGACTCCACATGATGCCTGACATTTAAATGTCTCAGCTCTCTGGAATCTGAGATCAAATGCGGGAAATGGGAGTGAAACTAAGAACGGGGATCCTGAGTGTGTGAAAACACTCAGAGCTTTGAAGCACGGCGGCTGAATGAAGTCAGTGTTAAAAGAAAAGGGTTCGGTGGCATTCTGAGACGAGGCTTTACAATAAAAACTTTTCTTAGTCAGGCCGACGAGGACCGGATTTGTGCTCAGGGTGAACAACTATGTCAACCAGTCACACAACCAGTGAAACAGCATGATTACTTAAAATGTGTGAAATTAAAATAGTGAAAAACACATTACCACAGGTTGAGTTACAAATCAGCCAAAACCATTTCACCATTACCCTCAGAACATTTACATACTTACTAAAGTCAAGTACACACACACTGACAACCTTATTTAAATCCAAGAGTGAATCCCCTAAAGTCACTCCCAAAATGACGATGATTGACATAATGATATCTATATCAACATAACACTTGATTGGAAAACAGTGATGCATCTCAGATATGCTTTTAATTACATCATTAGTAACTAGCTGCTAATTTGCTATCTATTCTGATAGCGGAATTCAGTTGAAGAACACAGTTCACACTGTGTAAATAACTAAACTGTGTACAGATTAGGATTAAACACAAAGGGTGGGTTGCACCAACAAGGATTAAGCTTTAATCTAGATTAAATCAAGGTTTATCTAATAATTCCGTTGCACCAAACTTTAAACCTTGTTTAAAAATAAGCAGGATTACATTTAAACCATCATCTTGATCCTGGATTTAATTTATATTTAAAATAGATTAACTTTAATCATGTTGCTCCATAACTTTAAACTCAGATTTAAATATCAATTGTTTAAAAAATAAGCAGGATTACATTTAAACCATCATCTTGATCCTGGATTTAATTTATATTTAAAATAGATTAACTTTAATCATGTTGCTCCATAACTTTAAACTCAGATTTAAATATCAATTAGGGATTAATTTTAAATTTAGTGAGGAGGTTTAAATTAAATAAAGTGCACCTACAGTTACAATTATGTGGCGGATTAAACAAAGAAAACAATAGAGGGTGTGTTGTGAGGTCTCAGGTGTTTATTACAAATAAAAAGGAAGATTTAAGCACACTGAGCCAGCAGATTGTGAGGGTTTTGGCAGTCTGCTATCGAGTCCGGGATGTGAATCCGTCACTCATCTCGGTGCATCTCGGCGTACGACAAAGAAAACAGAAATATACTGTATAGCATTTAACGGCAGCGGTGATGATGAAGTGAGCGCCAATGATCGCGGCCACGCCTCTCGTTTCTCACGCCCGCTCCACGCGTGGATGCTGGGCGGCGATCAAACGGACGGGGCGGCACTGTCATAAAACATACTCCATTAATTGATACTATAAATATATTTCCAGGATTATGAAATCCGTATGCACTGCCAGAAATGTATTCATTGCTTGCTTGATCAGCCGTTTGAATAACGATAGCAGTTTATTAAGACGGCAGATATTTTACAAGTTTATTTCCTTTTTTGACACGAGCAACTTTTTATGTCAGAAAGAGAGTTTGGTAGTAAGCAAAGAAAAATTAGGAATATTAGCATTGTTCCTGTTTAATTGCAATGGCGAAATCCATCATGGCAGAGAAAATTAATCGTAGATGGAGGTTTTAATCGCAGGTTAGAGTTCTAATCCCTGATTTGTTAATCTGTGTTTAAAATTAAGTGGTGCAACACAACTCGATTTAAAATAAAACCCAGATCAACAAATCCTTGATTAGCTCTAAACGTTACTTAAATTAATCCTTGTTGGTGCAACCCACCCAAAGAGAATTTATTCTTTATTTTAGTCTTTATTTATATTTATTTGTCTAACCTCACTTTCTTCATTTCTTTGACCTCATTTACACCAGGTATTTACATGCGTTTCAAATAGGACAATGCTGAATATATATTTTTTATACATAGAAATAACATAAACGGGGCCTTCTTTAAACCGTCTTTAAGATCTCTATCACATAGCTCTAGTAAGTGGACTGAGCTTGGCCTTATATCAGTGGTTTGATAAAGATATGTGACTCTGAGCTCTCCTCAGGCGTTCAGTAATCCCAGCACTCCCAGAGAGAGAGTAATTACACTGGCCACTCCTTCACTGATAGATAATGTGATTAACGCTCTGGAAACACTGTCCAAACCGCTCAGGCATTTACAGTTAATGCTCTGTGCAAGTATAAAATGTGTAAAATACCACTCTGGCTCTAAAATTTGATCTTTAATCGTTCTGACATCAGTCATAAACAGCCTATGGTTAGGCTAATGAACTACATTATAAGGTGGGAGCATTTTAATTGAGATTATTACTAACAGTGTTTTTTAATGAATGATGCCAATGGCAATATCTAGAAAGAAGGATGGCTGCTGGCTGATATAATGTCACTATATACATAACACAATGTATAACAACCCAATAGGCCAATACATAATAATACAATTACAGAAACTGTTCACAACATTTCAGAAATTAATCAAAAAAATATGTTACACAGTATTTGTGGAATTCACTGAAAAAAAAAACTAAAAGCAAAAAACTATCCACTGAATAGGCTGTCAAAATGGCCAAAAGTACTTTATATATGTACCCTACCACTGAAAAGTTTGGGGTCAGTAAGATTTTTGAAAGAAGTGTCTTATGCTCACCAATGCTGTATTTATTTGATCAGAAATTCTGTTGATGAATGGCGGTAATATTGTGAAATATTCTTACAGTTTAAAATGATAGTTTTCGATTTTGAAATGTAATTTATTGCGGTGACGGCAAAGCTGAAGTTTCAGTTCTTTGACATTTCTTATTATTAGCAATGTTGACAGCAGTTCTTCTGCTAAATTTCGTGTAAACCGTGATATATATTTTTTCTAGATTCTCTGATGAATAGAAAGTTCAAAAGAACGGCATATATTTAACTTTTGATCAATTTAATGCATTTGTGCTGAATAAAATGATGAATTTCTTTCGAATAAAAATCTAACAGACTTTTTAGGAGAGACCTTGTGTTACAGTGATATATATTAATACATACATACATGTAGAGAGAGAGGCACTATCTGAACATCTGAACACAAACGTTTATCACCATACATTCCTGAAGTACACACACAGTTGTTTAAATTACTGATTAAATATGGTGTATTATACCTCCACTATTTTATCTTGGGGCCGAAGTCCAGATTTCTCTGCTGGGGAGTCCTCATCCACCGCCCTGATGTACTGGCCAGGTTTCGTCTTCTCTGTGTGCAGGTTAAAGCCATATCCGGTGGCACCCTTCTTCATGTGACAGAGACGTGGACGCAGCTCGTTCTTTGATTCCTATAAAGAGACAATAAACAAGGAAGGAAATTACGAAAACAGCTTATACACTGATATATCCTAAACAGACAAAGCAGAACGTATAAATGAGACCATTTCAAGATATCAAATACATATCAATATTTTGTTAATTATGATAAGATACATTTCTTTCAAATGTAAACTACAGCTAAGAATTTTGTACAAAGCAACAGTCCTAATTCCCTTAACTGCTAGCACATTTTCCAAAAAAATTATATATATATAAATAGTTCAAATTAATCAAACCTTAATCACACACCAGAAACTTTTTTTACAAAAAACATGCACATCATAATGTACAAAAGAAAGAACTTCTAAAAAGCAAAGCCACCCACCCACCCCAATCGATAAACAATAGCTGAACAAGTCACCTGCTTCCTGAAAC